ACCATTCCCCTTTTCATTGTCCCAGAGACTTTAGGGCTTTCTCTGCCTGAATAACGAGGACACAAACAATAGGTTGCCAGATTTATTGCCTGAACTGTGTTGTTGTATTTCGGCAGGTACATGCCTAGGATTAAGCTTACCTGGCATGAAGTGAAACTGTGAATACTGAAAGCTGAAATAAACAATATCAATCTCGCAAGTTCGCCATGTGATTTCTGAATCCCTATTGTGGGGGGGGGGGGGGGACCCCCACCCCCCACCCCCACCCCCGGACAAGCATGTCTTAGGCGTTGACTTACCGCGGGAATCCTTCGAAGTACAAGTATATCTGCCTGCGAGGCAAGGAATCAGGAGTCTCATTGCAAATAAGCCATATCTTTGAAACGGATGTTCACGCAACACTTAGATTCTGGAACAAGACCAAAATATGTATTGGACGAACACCCAGAACTTTTTGACAATGTTCACAACCGATGAACAGCCTAGTAAATGTTCAGTTAATGTATTTCTTATTATCTGGTCGAAGGAGCGGCTGGCTGAACAGTTAGGACTCTGGGCGCTTAGCGGTAATCCTAGGTTCGAATCCTCGGTGAGGTTATGGACGTTTATTCTGTCGGAACAAGACATAAAAATAGACAAGGTGGCCTGTACAGTTCGTGGCGACTGCTCTGGTTCGTCCTGCCTCAAGTGCTCAGGCTTCATGAACCCTTCTCATGCCACGCCCTGACTAGCGGTAACATACAGGCAGTAACGACAAGATATCAGGTCGACTGCAAACTGTTCCCCCCCCCCCCCCCCTTTTTTTTTTTCCAATTGTCAGCACTTTCGGGAAATTGTAATTTGGCAGCCAGGTACAAAAGGATGCTACAAGATAAAGAGATAAATGCAAGCGGGACATGAATGATGCAGGTGTGTTGAGGTAGATTCTTGCTTCTTCTCAGAATCCCAACTCTTAACATATTCTACAATCACGTTCTCAGTTATCCCCATTCCTTTGTCGATTGTACCCCTCTATGCAGCACAGTTAATAATAATATTTTGTTTTAAATATTTTTATTATGGATGTGTACAATCAGCAAAGGAATGGGGATAACTGAGAACGTGATTGTTGATATGTTCAGGGTTGGGTTCTGGGAAGCAACAGGTTAAAAACATGCAGTGGCAACAAGGTATCTTTTGCTCTAATTATGGAAGACTTCTCTTAACGTGGCCGGGTCTTCCTAGTCACACTCGCCAACGCCATGGGTTGTGATTCTCATGCTTCTCTGTCGAAAATTATAACACTATCATCTGAAAAGACGTAGAGGTGCCAACGGTTGGGAGGGACGTGGCTTCAGTTTTTGCCGGAGACGGATTTTTTTTTTTTTTTTAGAAATGACCTAATCTTACAGGTCGGACCCAGCCTTAAATGGGTACCAGGTAAAGTCCTGGGACGAAAAAGCGGTCGGTTTGGGTTTGATCACATTCCCACCGAGTAGCGATGGGTCTATAAAATATAGGTCTAACGATGTATGCCCAGTACGCCTGAAGGCGTGAAAAAAGGGCCCTTTACTGACTTACTTACGTCCAATATACCCCCAGCATAATTATGACATCTTTACAATCTGGCTAATCTGCGCAGTTCATGGCAACTGCACTAGTCATCAGACCCTAAACCCTTAGACTGAAGCCTCTCCTCTCTCCTCCCCGTCCTACTCTGCCCTAGAAAGTGGTGAAGACAGCTGTGTTTACTTCTCTTACATTTTTAAAAGCAAACTCATTTATCATTCCGTAAACAGTAGCGCGTCATGCTATTTTTTGTAATGCATTATATACTCATGTATTTAAGTTGAGATACTGCACGAGGAGGCAGCGGTTAGAGAGTCGTCAAACACGCACTGAAATGGGAAACACCTCTCCGTCTGGGTTCGGAGGTCGCACTGTGGGGGAAGCAAGTATAGACCTACTCATAGACATGCCGTAAGAGACTACTTACTAGGAGTTTTCTTCAAAGTGGAAGATTGTGTTCATGAGAGACAGGAAACCAGCAGTCTGCATACAAATTCTGCAGATTTGCATCATGAAGGTTCTGCGGCAATACTTAAGTCTAGAGGTGGACGAACAATCAGAACTTTCCGCCGGATTTTTACAGCCGGTGAACTTGAAGAAGAAGACCTGGGAAACCACTGGACTGTGAAGGCGATGACGGACAAGTGAAACTCTGAAGATGAACGGCGGTGAGAGAGGCCAGAGGTGCCGGGTGAACTCCATCAGTAATATCGAAAAGACTGCTGGATATGATTGAATGGAGCCGTGTGGGAGGTAAAAACGGCACAGCCGGCGATGATGATAATGAATGTGAAGGCAGAGAAAATTCTGTTTACGTATGCCTTCGTTGGTAGAACAGGATATGGATCAGACTTTAGCAGTCTTCGTTTATAGATGCTAGAAGTCAACAGAGCGGGCAAAATTGGAATGACAACATGACCCGTGTTTACGTTGTATGGCTGTGTCACAAGATTTCTAGGATTGGGGAGAGGGGGAGGTGTTTACTTCTGAACCATGCTAGTTACTTGGCTTTTTCATGTTCATGAGCTCTGTTGCCTTGTCTGATTAGTTTCTAGTCGCTATTTGTTTTGTTAAATGAGGTGAAGGAAAATAGTGACAATTAATAGGACACAAGTTCAACATGCTATCGCTGTTAAAAGAGAGACATTAAAAAAAAGGGGGGCTTAACTCTTTGAGTACTACAAAATATTACCAGAAATGACCCTATGTAAACATAACCAATAGCGAAAACCACCATTGTATTGTTCACACGATGCCTAGTACCGTGGAAGCCAGATTTTTAAAGGATGCTGTGACTAACAGTGAAAGAGACTAAAATATATTACATGTTGGGTAGGATTAACAGGAGTAATAATTAGACATCACACGTTGCTTGGGACTGAAAGAGTTAAGTGCCTAGGCAGGGTATTCACTGGGGATGGAGAATGTTAACAAGTTTGGCTTGTCTTGGAATTTGAGTCCTCTCCTCGTTTGTGTAGTCCACTTGTGTTTAAAAAAGGCCGCCTGGTCGAAACGTTACGTTGTGTTGTTTTGTTCACGTTTTTACTGCTTCCCTATTTTGTTGAGCTTTTTAGTCAAATTTTTCTGGAATTCCTTGTAGAAGCTTAACTCCAGTCACCCCCATATTTTCACCATTTTTGGCTTGTCTTGACTTGACACTTGGTGGCAACGACCGACGCGACGCGAGTTGGGCTTCAAGGGAGACGACTTAGTGCAACCTGTGCTCATGTTACTTCAGCGTCCTGTTAGCACCTATACCAGCTCTTCCCCCGGTTGTATGTCAGGGCTGGGAAACTTATTTTCTACAAGAGCCATTTGCATAGTTATAAAATAATTCGCAGGTTATTCACAAATAAATCAAGGTAAACAATGAAGGACCCTTTTCCCACACCTTTCAGGTGTATTGGGTATGTAGGGCTATACCTATATTTTATAGATCAAACGGCATTTGGTGGGTGATGTGGTCGGCATCACACCAGCCACCTTTACTTCCAAGGACTGCACCTGGTACCCACTTAAGGCTAGGTCAATCTGGGAGCCAAGGTCATGTTTGAAAAACGTCCAGCCCCTTCAGTAACCGAACCCACAACCTTCCCATCCGCAGGCGAGCGTCTTGCCGCTAGACCACGGCGGTTAATAAGGTAAAATTGAGCGTGCTATATTTGGTCATACATTTACTTGTTGTTGCCTGGACACGGCTACACTTAATAATTTCGCGTTCCTTGAAGAGTCCACTGGCAGCCCGGACGTTTCACATTTTTATTTTGTGTCCTCAAGTGAACGGACTTGTCTGTTTGTTTGTTATGTGGTAGGGGGCTGCGTCACACAGAACCTAGTTAAGCTATCACTTCTATCTCCATCTTCCGATCTCACTGTAAGTCCTAAACACTAACCCTCAATTTTCAATTAAGTCTACTCTTACTTATCCCCACTACCTGTCAACCATGTGTGGCCAGAAGAAAACTGGGTCAAAAATTGAAAAAAAAGAGCCAAAAAGCAACCCCCCCCCCCCCCCAAAAAAAAAAAAAACCCAGATTTGGCTCCCCCAAAAAGGCACACACACACACAAAAAAGAAGCTTGCGCACATACACATGTATGGAGCGAAAACAAAAAGCTAACAAAAAGAAGTTAAATGGGGGACCCTGAAAAGGGCCGTGTTTTGGGCGTCTCGAACGGCTGACTTGAGTGCTATATGGTGATGTAACAGTAGGATGCAATGGTGCTGTAGGCGACGGCGGACTTGACAAATACGAAACAACAGCTCAAATACCGAGCAAAAGCCCAGGCGTATTGAAACGACGCTAATAAAGAGGGAAACATTTCATTGGAGAACTAACTCCAAACACATAAACACTGTCTTCGAAATAACCACAGCTCAATCTAGGAGCCGGTTAAAAGAAGCGAGAATTTTTTTTTTTTTTTTATCTACACCAAGACCAAGACCAAGTGGTCTCGAGGCATGGTGTCCGCCTCTCGAGTGCTAGAGGTCCTGGGATCAATCCCCGGTAAAGGCTGGAATTTAGGCTTCTAGTAATTCCCCCTGGTCTCTGGGTAGTCAGATCGAACTCCCGTGTGCATTGTTGCGCACGTAAAAAAATCCCTTGGCAGTTGGAAATCGAAAAGGGTAGCCTAACGGCGCTGCTCGGGCAAAATTTGAAGTTAAAAATCTACTCAAAGTATTACAGGATCTTCGCTGGTGCTACAGAGCCAGTGCACTGTGCTGAGCTTTTTCTGATTCGGACTTGAGTTAGAAGAAGATCGAAGCACAAATGGGTTAATACCCGTATGCCATGATGTTTATCCGTTGTTCAACCCCCCCCCCCCCCTTCCCCCTTTCCCCCCAAAGAAACTGTTATATGGTTTGTCGGTCTTTTCTGTTTATCTATGTGCCTGTCTGGCAAGTTTGTATTTATTGCTCCTAATACCTAATTTCTTCTGTTATTTATTACAGGTTCTGGGTAACAGGTCGAAATTCTGGTGTTCCATACAACAGTCCACTCTCTACATGCAAAAGGTAAAAATGAAACACTACTCAGAGTTTTCGTTGGAATGACACCCATTCCCCGCCCTTTCCTTTCTCTGCTTTTTTCTCTCTCTGTACGTGTCTGTGTGTGTATTTTCTATCCTCTGTGTGTGTGTGTGTTTTTTTTTTTTCACTGTGTCTTGTCCTTGATTCTTAGTCTTCCTGTACCTCTCTTTTGTATTTATTCACACTGTCTCCCTCACGCTTTCATTCTTGCTTTCTTTTTCGTTCTTTGACCTACTCTCTCCCCTTTCTGCCTTTCCCCTTTTTCTCTTCCCGCTCACTGTTTCATGTTTACTCTCTATTTCGCTGTTTCTTTCTTTATGTGTCTCTCTTGCTTTCACTCTGTCTCACCCTCTGGCGTTCTCTTCATCTCTTTTGTCCCCTCACAATTTTCTTTCTCCTTCTGTTTTTTCCTTATGCTGTCTTTTTATTTGTTATGTCTTTCCATCTCTATCCTTCCCTCATCAAATTGTCTCTCCTTCTCTCTTGTTTCCATTTGCTCTCTCTCTCTCTCTCACACACACACACACACAATATCGCCCCCCCCCCTGGATTTCTCCTCCCTACTTCCCCCACCCCTTCTGTATTTTCTCTCTCTCTCTCTTTCTCTCTCTCTCTCTCTCTCTCTCTCTCTCTCTCTCTCTCTCTCTCTCTCCCCCCCCCCCTTTTGAATTTGGCCTGAATCCATACAGAGCCTGACATTCATAACTGACCTTGATTCCAAGGTCATCCAAGCCTGAAATGGGCATCAGGAAATATTCTGGAACAATGACGAATCTCTCACGCTAACACAGTTGTATGACCTGGGAGTCAAGCATGGTGAGACATGTTTATGTCAGCTTCAGGGCTAAGATAGGAAACATTATAACCAGTGTCAGAAGAGAGTAGAGTGGCTGCTGCATCGAAGGACTGAGCACGCGTGGAAATGCTCAGTGTGCAGTGAAGCCAACTGTGATAATAAAACAAAACATTCTGGGAAGAAAATGTGGCCGACAGGGTGTTGACCACATCACCCAACAAGTGCTGATTACTTTGCAACAATAAGGCCCTAGCACCATATGTAAAAAAAAAAAAAAAAAAAAAAGTAAAGGTCCATTTTCCACGCAAAATAATTTTTTTTCCTTTGGTTTTTTTTCCTTCGATTTTTTTTTTTTTTTTTTTTTGTGTGTGGGGGGGGGGGGGGGGGGGGGGGGGTTCCCCCTTTATTTCAACTTTGCATGTTTGCGGGTATTGTGTTTTTCTGCTATTGTGTGAGTATGAGCCTTCATGTGTCTTGTTTTCTAATGTTAGTCTGTTCACATGTGTTGCCGTATGCTTGTGTCTGTTTTGTGTCATGTGCAAGAATTTTGAAAAACACAAGAAAGAGAAGGGGGTATATGGGAGGTCAGCCATAGAAGGGGTATGGCCTCTTTTTGGTTTATTCTACTATTGTCCATTTTTTTTTTTTTTTTAGTCGATTGTGTCCAAATGGTATTTTCTCCATTTCTGGTACCATCTTTCTGCTGTTGTTTTGAAGTCCCTTTTATTTCCGTCGTAAAAAGTCTGAAGATTTGAATATTCTTGTATTTCTCCTTCCTCACAAAGGTTGTCCGCATATTCCTGTGCCAGACCATCGATATAGTTTTTGTTGTGTCTATAGTAGAATTCTTCTTTCGATGGCATGTGTTGCTTAAGTTCTACTTGGTCCAGGTATCTCATCTCACCAAACTCTCTTAAGAAGTGCCACCATATAATTTCATCTCTCTCTATTGTTGGGTCATCCGTTTCTGTTCTTTCTGTGGTCTCTCTTGCTTCTGGTATCCGGGGGGTGTCCTTAGTTGTCGGTGATTGGTCTGGGGATAAGGGAGACAAGGGTGAGTCCGGAAGTTCCACATTTTGGAAGACTGTCTTGAGAAGTTGAGCCGGGGCCTCTTCTGGTTCTGGTGATGGTCTTGGAGGTTCTGGTGATGGTCTTGGAGGTTCTGGTGGTGGTCTTGGAGGTTCTGGTGATGGTCTTGGAGGTTCTGTATTCTCCGAAACTGTTTTGGGTACTTGGATCATAGCCTTCTCAACTGTGGGTGTGGTTGCCACGCCAGTTTCTTTTGTTGTCTTTACTTTCGCTGTCGCTTCTATCGTGTTCTCTATACGTGGAGTGGCTTCCGATGTGTTAGGTTTCGTCTTATTGTTCCTTGAAGTGGTCACCTTGGTGCTATCTGTCGAATGTTGTGTCTGGTGTACCACGGCTTTCACTGTGGTTGGAGGGGCCTTTGATGTGCTAGGTTTTGCTTCTTTCTCTTCATGAATTGGATGATCGGTCGCCTTGATTTTCTTTCGACTGCTTTTTGGTTGTGTTGACTTCCCAAGAGTTTCTTGTGGTTCCGGATTGTCTGTCGGGATCTCCGGAGTTTTAGTTGGGTATGTCTGTTGTCGTGGCCTCTTTTCCGGACATTTGTTCGATCAGTGGTCATCTTGTACATACATGCAATCCTTCGGTCAGGCATCGTGATCAAAACTTTGTGGTTACGCTTGGTTATGCCTGGGGTGTAAACATATATATATAGTGGGGTATTTCTCGTGTTGGCTTACACATCGCTCCCCACTTCCTTTCGTCGTGATGGATAGAGAAGACTTCAGGTTCACAATCTTCCCTTATCGCCTTTACGATGTGCATCACGCCTTCGGTGTTCAATTGGCTTGGTAGCCAGTTTAGTGTAATCCGTTTAGTGTAATCCGTTTCTTCTGCTTTCCGTACTGTTCAATTCTGCAGGTGATATTGTCTTCTTTCAGGGTCACCGATTTGCCATGCAGGTTCTGGAACAGTTTGTTGTGACCTCTTTGCGACAGGCAGAAAAACCACTCTGTCGGGCTTACGTGTCAGTACAGATCTATGATATCGTCTGGCGGTATGGCAAAAGGGCCAATTAATATGCTCGTTATAAAACCAGGTTTGCCCTTTGCAGCCGCCATGGGTCCATCAATTGTGCAGACTAGCGTGTCCTGCTTGTGTAGGATCGGGTTTTTATATTTGTTTGGAGGTACGTCGATCGTCTCCGTGTTTGATGACATGTTGTCCAGGTTTTAAAATTTCTTACATTTCTTTTAAAACACAATAATCCAAATGAATTGAACATTATAGTCCAGTTGAAGATTAGTAATCCAGTGAAGGGTTATGAATATCCACTTTATACATGAAAATCTTGATATAATGTCACAAAAGGTAGACCGAAATCCGTCATTTTGCTTGAAAATGAAAATCAACACAGTTTCACAAATGGTAGACCCAGATCCGCCATTTTGCTTGAATATGGAATTCTCAAACTATTCTCGCGAACGGCAGGCTGAAACCCGCCATTTGGCTTGAATCTTTGTAAATCCAAAATTGAAAAACACGTTTTACACTCTAATGACAGGCGTGCTGCTAACTTTGGGTGGTATGATGTCGTATAGAGCATATAAAGTTAGACCTCTATTTATATATAACAATCGGCACAAAATAGGTGATGTAGTCAGCAATACGCTAGCCGCCTTTACTTCCTGGGACTGCACCCAATACCAACTCAAGGCTAGGTCGATCTGGGAGTCGAGGTCATTTTTGAAAAAAGTCTGGCCCTGCCAGAGAGCGAACCCACGACCTTCCGCTCTGCATGCGAGCGTAGCAGCTTATATCCCTTACACCAATGGCATGAGAAGCATCTTGTACACAAAGGGATTTCAAATGAAAATCCTAAAAGTGTGATGGAAATTGCAATAATCATGCGATTGCCCTGTGACTTGTCAGTATTGTTGTTAAGGATGTCAACAGTGTTAAGCACCTAACATCAGAATGCTGATTAACACAATGATGTTATAAAGACAGTTTAAATATGGCCGTCCCACTTTTGACATGCACTGAAGAGGAGCAGCAGTTGTTATCCATTTTCAGTGAAGGGTGCAACCTGTATAAATGAATCCGAAAATGAAGTCTAGTATGATGGTGCATGTCTGCCAGTCCACATGTGAAGTGGGAAGCTTCAGAACCATAAGAATTCTGTGACAGAGTTTGCAATGACCTGATTATGAACACTTTGGGCTTTCTATGACAGTGTTGTGTTTTTTTTTTTTTTTTTTTGCTAATTGAAGTCATTATGTTCGTTCCCTGTAACAGTCAAATGGCCAGCAGAAGTCACCCAGGCAGGGAGACATTGTGAAGACAATCGACTTGAAGGACTGTCACCAGGTACGCAAGGTGACCGCTGAGATTACGGGAACCCACTTTGAAATATGCCAGAAGAAAAAAACACATGTTTTTGTAAGTAGCAGACATAGTAATATATTTTCATAGCAGCCTAGCATGTGTTTTTGTAATTAACAGTAGACTAGTTCATATGTTTTTGGAAGTAACAGTAGACTAGTTCATATGTTTTTGGAAGTAACAGTAGAACAAGTCTTTTTTTTTTTTTTTTTTTAACAGTAAAAAAGTTGTCTGTTTTTATAAGACAAAAAAAAAATTAAGATCATGTGTTAACAGCTGCATAAAAATTTTATATTTATATATTTTTTTTAATATCTAATGAAAATTTATGGTGTGTTTTTGGAAGTTACAGAAGATTGTTTCCTGTGGTTCTGGAAGTTACAGAAGATTGTGTTTATGTGTTTTGGAAATTACATAAAAATGTGTCATGTGTTTTAGGATGTTACAGAAAAAAATATGTTTTTAGAAGTTACAGCTGTATGTGTCATTGTGAGTTTGGAAGTTACAGAAAAATGTGTCATTGTGAGTTTGGAAGTTAGAGAAGAGTGTGTTTTGGGAAGTTACAGAAGAATGTGTCCATGTGATTTGTGTGTGTGTGTGTGTGTGTGTGTGGAAATTACAGGTGAATGTATACTTTTTTTTTTTTTTCGTAAATTACAAATGAATGGGTGGGCTGTGATGAAAGTGAGGTTCTGTAAAGTCCTGCTGTTTATTATTGTTATATATTTTCTAATGTATAGCATTGTAAATATGACAGACCAGGGGTTTTTAACCTAAACACCTTCCAGGGATAACTCTCCCAAGTTTTTGAAATTTTAATTTGTCTTCTGCTACCAGATTTGCCCAGCCAGTGAAAACTGTACAATGTGGGTTAAGGCCTTGCAAGCAGCCATGGCTTTGAAGGATGCTGGGTAAAGTTTTCATTTTTGGTATTAATAGCACTATATATATATATATATATATATGATTTAAAACGCATAGGTACATATGTATCAAGAGGTCAGTTTGTTTAAAATGATATGCAAGGCTTGGTCATCTTATGAGAAGGAGAAAACTGGAGTTCATCGGTAGTAACCTTACCAAATAGTAACCTAACCCAGTAAAAACCTTACCCAGTAGTAACCTTACCCAGTAGTAAACTTACCCAGTAGTAAACTTACCCAGTAGTAAACTTACCCAGTAGTAACCTAACCCAGTAGTAACCTAACCCACTTGTAACCTAACCCAATAGTCACCTAACCAAGTAGTAACATAACTTGGTAGTAACAACCCAGCAGTAACATAACTTGGTAGTAACAACCCAGCAGTAACATAACTTGGTAGTAACAACCCAGCAGTAACATAACTTGGTAGTAACAACCCAGCAGTAACATAACTTCATTTGTAGCATAACTCTGTACTAATGTCACCCAGTAGTAACCTAACCTAACCCAGTAGTAACTGAACTCATTAGTAACCTTACCTAGTAGTAATCTAACCCAATAACAACATAACCTAATAGTAACCTAAGGCAGTAGTAACCTAACCCAGTAGTAACATAACACAGTAGTAGTGTAACCTAGCCCAGTAGTAGCCTAACTCAACAGTAACCTAATCTTACCCAGCAGTATAACCTGGTAGTAACTTAACCCACTAATAACCAAACCCAATAGTAACCTAACCTAGTTGTAACATAACTCAGAAATAACCTAACTGAGCAGTAATCTAACCCAGCAACAACATAACATAAGGCTGATGAAGATGGTTGTGCAACGTGGAGCTGCATGAAATAAACATTTCACTAAGGGCACATGCCATTTGATTAAAATAATCAACACAGAACAGGTGTCTTCAGTCATTTGTGAAGCTTTACAGGAGTTTTTGCATGCTGTGATGGTAATCATTATTAATCAGAACTGAGTGTTTTAACCAGATTTGTCAATGGACTTCTTTTTCTGTTTCTGCAATCACCGACTGTGATCTCTGGTGGAAAGTCCTGGACTTCTGGACTTTAGTCTTGTTCCAGCACTTAAGTGATCTTCTTCTTCGCGTTCACCAGCTGTTAACTCTGGCAGAAGGCTCTGGTTGCTCGTCCACTACTCAACTGCAGTCCTGCTCCAGAACCTGAGTGTTGCATGTGCATCAGTTTTACAGATCTCATTCTCTTGAATACAGACTGTTGGTTCCTTGCCTCTCCGGCAGATGCACTCCGACTGAAAGGAAGCTCCCCAATTAGTCGACTCTAACGACATGCTTTTAAGGAGGCAGTGGGTCTATTCTTGTTTTCCCCACAATGGGGCCCGGAACCCACACGGGGGACTTAAGTGATGCATGCACATTCATTTTACAATCTGGCTTATTGTGTGCAGACTGTTGGTGCCTTACCTCTGAGGCAGATTAGTTCTGACTTAGAAGTAAAGGTTGATCCTGTCTACTTTGGCCTTGCCTACAATAGGGAACACATTTCTAGGATGACCACATAGAACTGAAGAAAGTTGAGTTGAGTTGAGTCAAGAATTGACATCACATTACCAGGGCATTCACATACGTGATATGTCCCCAGCTTTAGCAGCCAGCACAGAGTTCCAGTACTAATGATGCCAGTGGTATGTCCGTCTTGCCTTTTATCTGAGCATAGTGTACCGGCCAAACCCTCCAGTCACACCCAGAACTAAAGAAAGTTCTTGACCAGCATGTGCACCTCTGCATCGTCATTGATGGACAAAACAGCAGAATCCTAAACAAACTGGAAAGGTCACATCAACTCAGAAGTGAGAAAAATCACCCCTATTTTCTGAAGAACCTGCAGGATTCCAATGAGTTTATCAGTTGTTTCATCCAGCTATTGAATATGCCTTTCTTTTCTCTATTTGCTACAGTCTTGTAGTGCATGTTCTGCAATTTGAGTTGTTAGCCTACATATACATATTGCCTTAGATCCTATTTTTAGTTTTATTTGCACATTACTTTTCATGTACAATATAGTATTTTGTGTAGTTTGGATTTATTCTGAATCAAACTACACTGTATGTATGTTCATGATAATGATCACATAATTTTGGTTTGTTATCTTTCACTTCACAATTTGTGTATTTTACTGCATTTTGTCTTTGAGAGAAGCCTTCTTAACTCTTTCAGGACCACATTTTTTTTTGCGGTTTGGACAGCATTGATTTTGAGCTGAATTTTTTTTTACTGCAACTGGACAAAGCTAAAACCTTTCTGAAGAAAAAGTATTGGCTGTGTATGGACAAATAATTTATCAAGTTAAAAAGAAATGAGTCCAGAATAAATCTAAACTTTTTAAATGACAGTATTACAACAAAGTATTGTTTAACCACACAACATTTAAGGACGTTAGACACATTTGAAGATTATTACACAAAAAAGTGTGTGCTTACCTTATTTTACTTGTTCAGCAACTCTGCTATCCATTTCTAAGAATGCACATGCCTTCTCTGTTTAATTATATATCAGCTAGTCTTTATTTGAAACAATTAATTGAAATACTTTGGCATGTCAGATTTCACAACCAAAATCGTTAAAAACAGCTGATCGAAACAGATGATCTGATTGAAATATTTTGTTTAGTCATCATCCATAAATCTATTTATTGACACAGGTTTGGCACATGCATTATCAATCATAATATCAAGACTATCGTCACTATCAGGTTGAGGTTCAACAACGACAAAGCAGTATGAACAGTTCTAGACTTTTTTCTTGATCATTTGATATAGAAAAATCACGTAAAAAATGTATCACATCTGAATGATTTTTTTAAAATCAGAGAGCGATGCAAAAACCATGCCGACTTCAGAAAACAAAAGGACTTTCAGTTGCTAGTCCTAGTTTTTCAAAACATCTTCATAAAAATGTGTATCCCGCAAACGGAACAAAATTAGAGTGTCTCTTTAAAGTGCCAGTAAATTGGTCAATAGTCCAATTGGGATAAATTCAAACGCCAATTAGCTGGTTAAAATTTACAGAGAGTTAATTTAGGGTTTTTCTTTTTAATAATAATAATTGTTACTGATTTTGATCTAATTCTTTCATCAAAAAGAAGCAAAGAAAATAATTACCATGACAAACATCAGATAGTTCTTCAAAAAACTTCTAAGGAACATCATGGGAAAACTAAAGATGCACCACAAAATCTGCCTGCTACCAGTTTTTATTGTCCTTATCACAGTTGTTTCCTAAACTCATTGCCATCTCATGAATTTCCTCCTTCTTTTTTTTTTTCCAGTCAGTTAGATTCAGATCTCGCAGCAGAAAGCCAGAATATTTCACATGTCTATGAATCCTATGGTGAAATTCTCAGAGACTCCAAGGTAGATGCTGTATCGTGTAAACTAGCAGAGTATAGTGAACCATCTGATGCCAAGAAAGCTAGCAAGGTTGTTAACAACAACAGTGAGTACTGGGAGATAGGACATGCTTCAGGCAGTCTTGATAACCCTCAAACAACAACACAATCAATCAGTGACCAATGCAACAGACAGAATCTTAGTCAACAAACCTTCACTGATGCAAAAAGTGAAGCAAGCCAGGGTGAATGTGAGCAAGAGATTTATAGTGATGGCCTCTCATTGGCAGCAGAGGTTAAGAAAACTATGTTGATGACCTGCCGAGTCAATGCTGAACTTAATCCTGGAAACAGTGTTGTTAGGCGTTGTTCTGAAAGCAGTGGAGGTGTATATTCTGATGCTTATTCCACTGCCAATGTTCTTCAGCCTCCCTCAGTGACAGCAAGAGATGATATACTGAAACCGTCAGATACTGTGGACTTTAAGGTCACTGTAACTAGCGATGAAGATGAGAATCCATTCAATGCACTGTTAGACTCTCTAAGTGGCCGTGACTCACCAATCCCAGATTTTGTTCACCCCCTGACAGAAGAAGACATCAAGCCTGTTGAAGATCTCCAAGAATTTCTGCACAGAAATCCTGAGTTGTGTCAGGTGGGTTATGTATTACTTCCTAGAGAGGATCCAGTGAACAGTCTGAAATCTTACCTGAAGACTCTCACTATTGCTGAGACAGGACACTAGAAGACATTTGGTTTCATGTTATTTCATTTATTTTTAAATACTTCTCCATGAATGCAGCCTGAAGGTTTGACCCGCAGTCACTTGAAAAGCCACTTTTCAGCCCAACAGGATCTAATTTCAGACACCAGCTCAAAAAAATTAAATAGTTGAATTTGGGTAACTTATGGCCACATGAAGTAATCCACTGTCTTGTATCAGATGAGGATGAGTGCGATTGCTTTCTTACTCAGAATTTGATTCTGATTTCATGTTTGAACCTGATAATTGTTTTGAGATTCGCATTTAGTCTACAACTGTTATTATTATTCTTTTATCCTACTGCTTATCACATAAAGCATCACAGAAAGGAGATTAGTTTCCTGTCATTTGCCAGTTGGGTAGTTTGTGTTAATGTTGTATTGCATTTCTGTAGGTGTTTTTTGTTGTTGCTATAAACAGCATAATTCTCAGAAACAGAGATACATCAGCTATAAACCATCATTCTCAGAAATGGAAATCAGATATAAATGGCATCTTTCTCAGAAATGGAAATAAGCTATAAACAGCATTATTCTCAGAAATTGAAATCAGCTATAAACAGCATCATTCTCAGAAATGGAAATCAGCTTCAAACAGCATCTTCTCAGACACTGAAATATGTCAGCTATAAACAGCATTATTCTCAAAAATAGATAGCTATAAACAGCATTATTCTCAGAAACGGAATTCAGCTGTAAACAGCACCATTTTCAGAAATGGAAATCAACTATAAACAGTACCATTCTCAGAAATGGAATTCAGCTATAAACAGCACCATTCTCAGAAATGGAAATCAGCTATAAACAGTACCATTCTCAGAAATGGAAATCAGCTATAAACAGCACCATTCTCAGAAATGGAATTCAGCTATAAACAGCACCATTCTCAAAGCAGAATTCAGCTATAAACAGCATTGTTTTCAGTCAGAAATTGAAATCAGCTATAAACAGCATCATTCTCAAATGGAAATACAGCATCATTCTCAGGCAGTGAAATACATCAGCTATAAACATACTAACAGTAAATACAGATGGACAACTGTGGTGGCAGGGGTCGCTGTGGTATAGTGGCTCACCTGTGGATCCGAAGGTCGTGGTTTCGGGTCCTGACGGAGACAAACATTTTTCTGAAATGACCTTGGCTTCCCTTGACAGGTTGATCCAGCCTTGAGTGGGTACCAGGTACAGTCTTTGGAAGTAAAGGCGGTTGCTGTGATGCTGACCACATCACCCACCAAGTTCTGAGTTGTCTATAAAATATACAAGGTCTGACAATTGAGTAATAGTGTAGATCTATACAAATTAAAATAATTAACAGTCACCTGTATTTTATTCAAATTTAGCCCCTTGTGCATTGATTCAGTGAGCAGCACAATCGAACAAACACTAGATTGACCTATGTAGTTCTTCTGTTGCTACGGCCCTTCGGATTTCATTAATATCGTCAAAGAAGCGTCCTTTCAGTGGTTAACTTTGATTTTGGGAATAGAAAAAAATCATGAGTTCATCGTTACTAACAGAAATTGGGCATCCAGGTCTTGTTGCATTAGTAATCATTTCCACACCACTTATGAATTATGAATACCACCTGAAAATCTGATCATAGACGAAAGTTGCCTCTTTGGATTCCATGCTTTGATTCATAGATGGCGTTTTTATCTTGGCCAAAATAAAATCAGTCTCATTACTTAATTGTTGGACCTTGCAGCTGTAATCTGTTGTGCCCAGTATGCATGAAGGCGTGGAAAAGGGTACCTTACTTTTGTGTGTGTGTGTAGCATATTGGTTATTGTTCATGCTAGCTAAGACAGTCCTCAGGGTTTAATCCCAAGCAGAAGGGATCATTACCGCCTGAGGAGAAAGGTGCTGCGAGGAGTTAACAGGGATCTGGCCGACACTCAATACTCAAGGTAATGGCCAAACGGATGTACAACTAGACTGTTAATGTTACCATCCGAATTGGAACTCTTCGCTTGCTACTGAAGATGGAGACTGAGCACTTATAGAAGTGTCCAGAGTGCTGTGATGTTGATTCCTAATTCAACATTCAACAAGTACATTCATTATTTTGTGGGAATTGTAAGGGAAGGAGAGATATCATCATCATGTGCCGTATCGATAAGCGTTAGGCTGTCATTTTTCAACATTTTGCTAAATTACCAGAATCCTGGATCAGTCAGTGCTCTTGTCCCACCCCATCCATATGGCAAAGCCATCCAGGTTTTTTTCTGTCTCTCTTGCTCTTGCCATTTTTTTCTGGCCAGTTGCCTCACAGCTCATTAGTTTATTCTTTCTCATGTCTGAAAAAAAGCTGAGTGTCAGTACTTGATTTCTCTAATAATTTCATGATTTTATAACAAGAGATCGAAAGGAGTAAAATTCAACTGACCATTGCATTTGACTTGCTGGGACCTCTGTGTTGAAGTGGTCAAGCCGTTCGCCTCATGCTCTGAAGATCCTCGTTTTCTTTTAGGGCTACACTGTTTGGGCCCCTGGAGGATTGTCATGATGGTCTTGGAAGGCAGCTGGGCATTCTGCAGAGAGACAAGTCATGTAAAATAAACTCTGTCAATGAAGTTAATCCTATCGACTTCAACTTTAAAAAAACATGCTGTTACCTAAAAGATGTGGCGGCTCACCATTTTCACCATCTGACATTATTTTCTTAAACTTGAGTGACTTTCTAGTATTCAGTGACCTGCTCTGATTGTCAAATGTGTGAAATTATTTTATTAACTTCATTAACTGCAAATATAACACAAACTGTTATCAGCTGACTTGCTCTATTGGCGCTGTGTTTCTTCTTCAAAGTCACAGTGCACCTCTGTAAAAGGCCAGGAACTAACATTAAGCACATTATTAGCCAGATCTGTAAAACGTATGCAGATGGCTCTGTGTTGAGAGGCAGAAGAGTGCATTGGTGTTCATAGCAAAAGTGAGTGGACATAGCTTAGTGCAACAAAGCCTGGCATATGATGTGACCACATCTAGTTTGAGAATGGAGGTGGAGGTGGTCACTGCAGCCTCTCGCTGGCTTGAAAACTAACTGGAGTATGTTAAGTTTGTAGCAAGCATCGCTTCCGAGTTCCTAGGTAGTTGGCATCCTTTGAATATTTTATCTAGGTGATGCCAGTGTATAGAGACATGAACAGGCAGATTGTTTGACTAGTTCTGCATCATTTTGTGGTAAATTGATGCATGACAAGCTAAATGTTGTAACCGCTTTTTGGGTGCGAGTAAACAATGTAGAGGCACATATGTATGTATAGATCATCATGGTCTGAAGAGAATAGTGCAGCAAGGAGTGACCCGCGAATCTGGCCAATGCTCAACACTCAGAGGAGGGGTGGTCAGGACATATAATCAGACTGTTACTGGTACCATCAAAACTCTGCACTTGCTGCTGAAGATGGGGATAGAGCGCTTACGGAAATGTCCCATGTGCTAGGATATCAGTTTTTAACTCATGTAGCAGGTCCTTTTGCAGAATGTCACTTTCATCACATAATGAAATAAATATTCCTCAGCTTCATGCATGTGCTTGCCCAGGTTCCCGTCAGCTCTTTCTATGCCCTGCAACTAATCATGTTTTCTTATGTCAGTCAAAAGTCAGTGCATTTGTCTGACTCTCATCTATCTCATCTACTTTTTCTTCATGTTCACCGGCTGTAAAATCCCGCGGAAGGTTCTGATTGTTTGTCTGCCTCTGGACTGTTGTCTCGGTTCCAGGACCTGAGTGCTGTGTGCACATCCACTTCCCAGATCTGACTTGTTTTAATGAAGACTATTGGTTCCTTGCCTCTCAGGCAGATGCACTCCAACTTCGAAAGAAGCCCTCAGTTAGTCGACTCTTGTGACATGCCTTCTGGGTAAGCAGTGGGTCTATTCTTGTTTCCCCCACAACAGGACCCCCAGATCCCACACAGGGATCTGTACTTATACATGGGCTACTTTAAAATAGAAGAATTGTTTAGTAAAATTATAAAAAGTAAAAGTAAAGGACCCTTTTCCATGCCTTTAGGCGTATAAGGCAGATAGGACTAGACCTATATTTTATAGACCAATCGGCCCAGGGTGGGTGATGTGGTTAGCATCACATGGACCGCCTTTACATCCCGGGACTGCGCCCTGGTACCCACTCAAGGCTGGGTAGACCCTGGGAGCTAAGGTAATTTTTGGAAAAAGTCCATCTACGCCAGGCAGCGAACCCACGATCTTCCGATCTGCAGCGAGCGTCAAGCCGCTCCGCCACGGCGACTCCCTAGTACAATTAAAATTAATATATTTAGGCCGTAAACTAGACACAGCAAACCCAGCTGCCATATGTACAAGAAATTCAAGGCTGGTGACCCAGAAATTTTCCCATGTTTACAGACAACACAGAATAACCAACACCTGCTTCAAACATCCTCTCTCCATGTAGTAGAGGGATCCTAGGTCTGGTCCATTAGCTTTCTAGTTGGAACTAGAATGTGTGGAGAACATGCATCACATCACAGCAATCATAGAGAACTTTTGCCTTCTCAACTGAAATCCGCTGGAGAAAGAAAGAAAAAAGACTGTAGGGAGTTAATGCAATTTTGGGCTCATATCGAAAGAGTTAAATACCTCCATCTACAGTTGTATTGGTCGATCCGTGCCTTCTCTTCCAGGAACCATTGCTTTCATTACTGTTCTTTGATACTCTGTTTAATATGTCTGAAAGTATTTCCAAGACACAATGCAGGGTCAATGAAAATCATTCTGGGATTTTAAACTGTTTAATATAAAAAGAATATGATTTAATGGGCATACGCGTGTGGTGTCTTAACTCTTTGAGTCCCAAGGAACGCATCATACGTTCATAGGTTACTGCCCAGAAGCCGAATGAACGCAAGATGCGTCAATTTTACTCTCTTTTGATTACCCCTTGGGCCTGGGATGCTAAACCCTCTGGGACTAAAAGAGTTAATATATTCAGAAAAATGTGAAGTTTTAGACTTA